TCTCCAAGTTGATGACAGGAAAAATGGCCATTTTTTTGCAGATACAAAAAGCTTGGATGAGCTTTGTTGGGATTTTGGTTATGGTGGATGAAGTGAGAATGGATGGTATTTATAGGGGAAATTGTTTTGGATTTAGAAAGTTGGAAAGTGGGAAGAAATTGATGAACAAATTATAAAAAAAAAAAAAAAAAAAAAATGGGCCCATGAATTCCCATGCATGTATGTGGGAAGGTAGGTTATTGAAGATTGAATTTCCTCTTTGGTGAGGGTTGGACCCACTTCGATGGCTTTATCATCTCTTCATGTTAGACCAAACTTGGAGCCATTTTGTGGCTGCCAATCCCACACCCTAATAATCCCTTCTCACTTCCATTCACCCCTTCCTTCACAACACGACTATCTCATTTCTCTTCTTTACCTTTCGATATTCTCTTCCAAACCCACCACCGACCTGTTATACCTTTTCTTATTCAAAATGTTGCGTGTCAAATAAGAGAATCGAGATTCAAATGACGTACACTGATGTATAAGAAGAGCATTCATTCCAAATTTTGTACCACATGTTAGCCGACATTCGCTTGAATTAAGGGTTTCTTTTTATTTTGGTGGAAACTCCGATCCATTTCTTTGTCCTCTTTTCAACAAAATTTTAGTGAATTTTTACTCAACCCTAGTTTGAAAAAGGAGTAAGAACAAGTGATAAAATTTTCCTATTCTGTTTTTGTTTCTGGTGATGATTTTGGAGTCTCAAATCACATCCTTCCTATTCCACTTATCAATGCCAAACGTCTCTTCTCACTTCAAAATTTACCTAAAATACCTAAACTTTCTTCTCAAACGTGTAATTCAACACTCAACTTAGTCTGCATCTTAAATGGTTTCATACACAATCCAACATCATCACCACCTTCTTCCTCAATTCTCTCGCACGAAACACAAATAAAACAATCCCCAACGCTCGGTGGAGTACCTGTAGATTGTCTTGAAGCTACGATTTTTATCTCCCATGCGTGGAAAGAGAGGTCTTGGATAGCAAGTTTGCTTTGAAAAGCTAGTTAAACTATTATTTTGATGTGACGGAATTATTGAACTCTAATTGTCATATGCGTGTCCCGATCAAATCCCTCCTAGTTGTATGATTAATGGGATCGGTTTTCTTCCTATAAGGCATTAAACCCTCTTTCTCTAATAAGTTAGAGGTCTTTGTAAACATGTTAAAAGACTCTCGTATTTGACGGGTCACCTTTTAAAGACTAAGAAAAACAAACGTCTAAAAGAAATAAGTAATTCAAACCTATACATATCTTAACTAGTTGATTTTAGCTTTGATCGCTTTTGTTATTGACATGCAAAGCTAATGCAGTTAAGTTATGTATGGGGTGGCAGCTGGGCCACGCCCATAAGGTCTCTAAGTGCGAAACTCGTCATCACGCATGGCACTCATTCATGTCGACGTCCCTACAACCCTTAGATACCATCTACACTTTTCCAAACATTATCTCTCAAACTTTTGCTTCAAATTTTTTTCTTTTTCGTTCGAGATTTTGTTGGTCTGTAAACGTTTAAGTTTATATCTATCTGGTCTCTAAACTTTCAATATTGAGTTCATCAGTAATCTTGTGTGACATTTATTTATTTATTATTATTATTACCTGTGGGACATTTTGAAAGCAGAATGACCTATTAGATAAAGCTCGAGGGTAAATGATAATTAAATAACATATTTCAAAAAATACACTCAAATTAATTTTGAGAATAGTTCGTAGGGGTAAAAAAAAGGTTCGATGGAACAACACAAGTCCACTGCTAGCAGATATTGTCCGCTTTGACCTGTTACTTATCGTCATCAACCTCACGATTTTAAAACGTGTCTGTTAAGGAGATTTTTCCCACCTTCCTAATGAATGTTTGGTTCCGGTTGAAATGGAAATTATTTAATTATTTAATTTTGGTTTCTTATCTTAAATTATAAAGTATGATTTAGTTGAAAATTTATAGGTGATTCCAATAAAGCAAAAACAAAATAGCTTTGATATTGATAATGACAAATAGCATATTGTTAATGGAATTGAAATTCAAAAATTTCATTTAACAACAAAGTGGTAGGTTGATTAGCAGGTGGTAAATGTGATTTTTGATTATAATATATAGTTTGGAAGAATGAAATGTATGTTGTAATTAAATTGATATCAGCATTGACATTCAAAGATTCGAATGCTTCTTAGTTTGGTAAATGAAATTGAATATATTATCAAGTAATTTTGGTTTCTAATGGCGGCTCATCCTCGATATCCATTTCTATATCAAACTTGTTTGGCTATACATGGCTGCAACAAAGATGGCTCTTTGAATATCTATACATTATTTCTCTATTTTATTCATACACAATTGTCTTTTAAATGCTACTCCACTATATTTTATGGTCCGGTTGTCATCTGTTGGTATCGGGTTTTGGTCAGCTAAGGAGATGTTTCTACATCCTTACAAAAAATGCTTTGTTTCCCTTCCCAACCGATGTGGGATCTCACAATCTCCCCCTTGAGGCCCAACATCCTCGTTGACACACTCCTTGGTGTCTGGCTCTGATACCATTTCTAACGGCCAGAGGCTATCATTAGCAAATATTGTTCGTTTTGGCTCGGCTATCTGTTAGGGAGAGATTTCCACACCCTTACAAAGAATGTTTCGTTATTCTTAGATCCCATGTTGATTGAAAAGGGGAACGAAACATTCTTTACGAGTAAATTTAAAATCGAGGGACCGTAAAATGTGATATAAATAAAGGGTGTCATGATGTTGTCTTTTGAAAATAAGAAACCTACTCCATCCACAAAAAGAAGAAAAGAGTTGTCAAGATCTATCACCTTTTAGGTGAAGGCCTTTGTATGGTATGGTGGGATGGCATGTCTTTGCTATACTTTGAACCTTTCAATCACCACTTAAAAGGACCCAACTTGGAGGTAATGTCTACTCATAGGAAATGCAAACCCATTCAAGAATTTCTCAAAATATATATATATCTTCCGAGAATAAAACCCTGATCTTAGAAATGTGATTCAAACGATGATAAAAAAATCTCGTATATTCACTTTTCATCATTTCCAAAATAACTTACATGAATTTAACGTTTTGAATAAATAAATAGTATTAAATCATATCAAGAAATTTTGTCTGCTATATGATTACAATAACTTTGGCGGGGTCGGATTTACTTTGAAGAGATTAATTTAATGGGTTTGAAAACTTCAAAGCATAACCAAATATGTTGGTGAAAATTTACCAACTTGAAAATTTTAGAAGATTGAGAACAATGATACGATTAAAGACGAGAATTTTACCGGAGCATCATAAGTGAATAGCTCGCATTTGGTTAGCTAATTGATGAGGAAATAACTTATCAAGACGACAATCGGTAGCTGATACGAAAGTTAAAAGGACCTAGAAAAAATGAGTATGATCAAGACGACAATCGGTAGCTGATCCAAAAGCTAAAACAACCTAGAAAAAATGAGTATGATAAGATCATTAAAATGTTCGAATATGTCTAAATACATACCTCTGTCCATCTTGTGAGAAGTTGTAAAAGTTGCAGTTGAAATGTCCCATAACAAAGCAAATCATATTAAGATTGCCCACCAAAATATGTTCATATCTTTATCTCATTTCTCCACTTTAAAATCCTATTGTTCTTTTTAATTGCTTTCATAAGTAGCAAGATTTGTAAGATATTGTTAATATCAGAGTTGTTATGGTTCACAAGAAACGTTTGGTTTCTGATCATGTAGCGTAAACAAATAAAAATGTAACAATCTAAGTTCACCGTTAGTATATATGGTCTACTTTGGCCCGTTACGTAACGTCGTCAACCTCACGATTTTAAAATGCATCTGTTAGAGAGAGGTCGTTCTCACCTCCAATCGATATGGGATCTCGCATAAATATAAATCGAGACGGGTTTCTTAATCTCACACTATACGAATCCAATGCTCGAGTCAAACACCTCTTATCAATTTTAAGTCAAACTATGTATTTAATCGCTGAGTATTTTTTAAAAGTTTCTAACAAGTATCTATGATGTGAATCGAGAGCCATCGATCAAGCTTCAAACTTCAAGCTTCCATCCATCGGAGAATAATGAAAAGCCTATCAAGAAAATTCAGGATGAGAATAACTTTACAAGTGGTACCGATCAACATGGCTTGAAACACCTACTCTAGCTCTTGTTAGAGTAGGAATAAAAGAAACCAACATGTGACCTTACAATTTGGTCACAATTTAGGGTTTATTTAGTGTCTCAATTGGGGATCACATGTGAGGCCTAAAGCCCAACAATTTAGGGTTTTAAAAAAAAAAATTCTTCATAGGCTCGATCCTCTTATCTCATGATAACTCGAGCTAATAAGATTGTTCTATCTCGAGAGCTTAGTTCTTAAATAATCTATGTGTAAACTTATTTGGGTCACTAGATTTGGCCCGACAACAGGTATTCATCAATCGTCATAGGTCTCGAGTCAAGCATGGATCCCGCCTTCTTAGCATGCCAATACAGCCCTAAGCAACTTGGGTCAACACCCATGCTTCTTGGTGGGTCTTATTTTCATCATTAGTGGCCAACAATGGCTCTTGCTATCAGTCGACATCCATACATCCATTTATCCCCCAAACCCTTCTTCCCTTCCTTGCCTTCAAGAAGCAACCTTAGCTTCATCATAAGTGACTCGTTGTCACAGAGTTGATAGAGTTTATTATTTAATAAAAATTGTTTGGGTTGAAAAAATTACAACTTGAACAATTGGATTGAGCCTAAAAATGTTCAAATTCGTCCCAATCTAATCCACGAACACCTCTACCCTTCAGATCACGCAATAAATGCGTTGCTTGCCAAGCTAGTAGTGCAATCATGATAAGTTCCACCGCAAATAGAAGTTTCGTGCAAGTATTTCATATCTTCCTCCCCTTAATTCAAAATATAAGTCAAGCAAGGATGTCTGCTTGAGAGGTTGTGCAAACCAAAAATCAGCTGCCTTATCCTTTCTTCCATGATTTCATATAAAAACACAAAGATCACGTGAAGACAATAATTTAGGAGAACGAAAATGAATTTTCTTCTATCTTAAAAAATATCAAGAATCTCAATGATCGAACGGCTGCAAATAGGACAGGTGCCTCCTTTGAGCCGTAGTTCCCTAGAACATACCCTACAAAAGGTGTGTCCACAGGGAATAAAAGCAGCACCTTTACTCCTCTCCATGCACACGCAGCACAACCAATCACCGTTATTCTCACTCTCCTTTCTTCTCGTCTTCCAATCCCCACCGTCTATTTCTTCAAATAATCTCATCAGTGATTTCACATTGCCGACGGTGGGGCCTCCTTCCTCGGTTAAGTTTCTCTCAGCCGCCAGAGCCATCGCCAAGTTCATCCCGGAAGCTGCAGAGCTCCGAATCCCATCGTCTCTATGGCTGCGGCTACTTCCATGGCGGCTTAAACCTATACCATCAATCATCGTCAAAGTTGACGATGTTGAACTCCATGCGCCTCCACAGCACCCCATCCCCTTCATCAGTCCTAGCCGTTGCTTCAAATTAGCCCATCTCTGCCCTCGATTTGGCCGCTCCATTTCCTCTCCAAATTGCTGGACTGACACGAAAAAGACCCACAAAGGAGTTCTAGTAAAATGAATCCTAAATGGTATCAGGTGTTAGAGAAGATAACAATCCAGAAATACCCAGAAAGAAGAATGCCTCAAAATGTGCTTTTTCAGACCAAAGAAGAAGCTAAATCAGGAAAGAAAAAGTGGGTTTTGTGAAAGAGTGAATGATCTTACTAACCAGTTCTTAAGGGTTCCGTAGACCTTCAGGAACAGGATTCCATTATCTAAGCTGAAGAATGTCTGCCATGGCTGAGTGGTGGTGTAGAAGAGAGAAACTGGGAAACAGAATGACGGGCAATACCCTGTCCATTCATTCCATTTCCATATCTGAAAAATTTGGCTCTAAAGAAAGTTTCTCTAGTTAAATTGAATGAGCTGATTGATCAAAAACTTTGTGGCTGGCATTGGAGTGGAGGGGGGAGCCGCAGCAGGCAATGAAAAGATATAGTAAAGCAATAATCGTGAAGGGGTCGCTCTCGATCTATATGGAAAATGGGACCCACCTGTTTGATTTGTCACTGTGTGAGCGGGAAAACGTAGACCTATGCGCCATTCAAGCTATAACCTGTTTGGTGAGAATGCACCATTTACTCTTGTGAGCCTATAATAAATACAAATGATGTATCGTTATAAATTTGTAGTGCATAGTTTTCTTCAACAACCCACCATCCCTAACAGTATAATCTCAAGTATCTCAACTCAACAAAAGAAATACTTTATGAAAATGATTGTTAATACAAAATAATCTATGGGTAGTTCACACATGAGAGTGTTGAGTGGGGATCATCATCTACCATTTCTGGCTTTAACCCTTTCAAACGCAAATCTACTTTTGGGAAAAGAATCTTGAAGTCATGCGTTCTAGACATTAAGGGTTCTTTGAACATCACAATATAAACTTGTATAGAAAAGAACATGATAGTCCATGTGAATTTGTAATAGTCCAAGCTTATCGGTAATAGATGTTGTCCGCATCTGTTACGAATCGTTGTCAACCTCACGGTTTTAAAACACGTCTACTATAGAGAGGTTTTCACTCCTTATAAGAAATATTTCATTCTCTTTTCCAACCTATGTGAGATCTCACAATCCACCCCCTCGGGGGCCAGCGTTCTCGCTAGCACACCGTCCAGTGTTTGGCTTTGATACCATTTGTAACATTTCAAGCTCGCTGCTAGCAAATATTGTCTTATTTGAACTTTCCCTTATGGGTTTTCTCTCAAGATTTTAAAACGCGTTTACTAGATAGGTTTTTACACCCTTATAAGGAATGTTTTGTTCCCTTCTCCAACCTATGTGAGATCTCACAATCCACCCCCACGGGGGCCAGCGTCCTCGCTAGCACACCATCTAGTGTCTGACTCTGATATCATTTGTAACAGTTCAAGCTCACTGCTAGCAAATATTGTCGTGTTTGGGCTTTCCCTTATGGGATTCCTCTCAAGGTTTTATAACGCGTATGCTAGAAAGAGATTTTTATATCCTTATAAAGAATGTTTCGTTCCTCTCTCCAACTGATGTGGGATCTCACAAAATTTGAAATGGTGTGCTACTCTTCTACCTTAAGGAGCTCTTAGCATCTTAGGGAAGATGAATGAAGGCCATTTTGTTCTTAAATGAGGGCATAGAGCAAGCTAGCTCCTAAAGCCATAATTATGGCAATTTTTTGCTTCTTTACGGCTAGAGTTAATTCAAAGATAAAGAAGGCAAAAGCCAATAAATCCGGCACGTTTCTTCTCCTTCCTACTAAATTTGAGGGTTTCCAACCCACATTTTGTCCACAAAAATTTAAATTGGCCATAATGAATTAAAAGTGAACAGTGACCCTAGACAAGCTATTTCTTCACACTTTCTTTCAAGTAATCCTATTTTTATGAACTCTAACGGTCCACACCATTAGTAGATATTGTATGCTTTGGCCCGTTACATATCGTCATCAGTCTCACGGTTTTTAAAACGTGTCTGTTAGAGAGAGGTTTCCACACCCTTATAAGGAAGATTTCGTTTTCCTCTCCAACTAATGTGGGATCTCACAATCCACTCCCCTTGGGGGTCCAGTGTCCTCGCTGGCACACCATTCGGTGTTTGGGTCTGATACCATTTGTAACAGCTCAAGTTCACCGCTAGCAAATATTGTCTGCTTTGACCCGTTTCATATCGTTGTCAGTCTCACGGTTTTTAAAACGCGTCTGTTAGGGAGAGGTTTCCACATTCTTATAAGAATGTTTTGTTCTCCTCTTCAACTGATGTGAGATCTCACATGAACAGAGAACAATCACATGTCATACGCAAAATCAAGGAAGCTCTGACCTTATATTGAAATTATTGAGTCACGTTCCTGAATCCACCCGTCCCTGTATGCCAACAAGAAACTCAGAATTAATGAGTAAATAGTGTTCCCAGATAGTAAAGTTCGAGTAATAAATCCTATGCAATATAGTAACTAATCCTCAACATTATTAACAGTTCCATTTCCACGTGAGAGAGCAAGTGAAAAACCATAGAGGATTCTAGAAGTAGGCAAGACTTTTGTATCCCATATGCATACAATTCAAATTCCATCATCATGAATAAGAGACAACCAAGTCAAAGGAGTGTGTTCAAATTGAACGTATGATCATAGATGGGTAAAACTCCACCATAAACAATGTGTACACACGTATACACTATACATATCAGCTGTAAATGACAGTGTGTCGATGAACGCTATTCCAAACCCCCCCCCCCCCCCCCCCCCCCCCCC